TTAGGTGTACGTGGCTGGCGCCTTAGCCGGTTGAGCTATAGGCGCCGAGCCGAAAGCTTTACTTTTTAAATAAAGCTTAATCATGTAATTAGTTATCTTTTTCCCCAACATGGTTCTAAAGCTTAAATATTGTAATTTAAAAGGTAATTATTGGCTGGAGCAGTATAATTTAGTAGAAGATAGTATTCTGACCTTATTTAATCCTGAAGGTTTTTTTCCTAGTGAGAACAGAGGCATTGTTTTATGTGTTTACAAATCTCTTTAATGTCTGATTTATTGGAAGAAAACTAGATTCGCGTATCTGCTTTTGCATTCAGTCTGTTGTTACAAGATCACACATCAGGGGGTGGCACCTGTGGCTCAAAAGGGTAGGGCGCCGGCCCCATATGCTGGAGGTGGCAGGTTCAAACCCAGCCCCAGCCAAAATAAAAAAAAAAAATTAAAGTAAAAAAAAGATCACACATCAGGTAAGCCTCTGGAAAACTCCTCCGTATACTCAGGAAAGAACGAGTGTGAAAATATAAAAGTAGCTTTGACCTTGAATACCCTTCAAAGTTTTTCGAAGACACCCAGATCACAACTCATTTTACACATAAGGACACTGGATTGCAGAGACGGTAAGTGAGAAACCCAAAATCACACGGCCTGTCAATGGTAGGATACAGATCTCAGGTGGTTTGTCTCACTTCTTCTCTTGGTTTAGGTTCTCAATCAGATACCTTGGAGATATACCCCAGTGGCCTGTCCTGTTCTCTCCAGCAGCAAAGACTGTAACAATATATTACCAATATACTACACTCACACAAAAAACTTCCTTAAACAAATAGGCAAAGGGAAAAATCAATGCACTTAATAAATTCTGCAATAAGCAAACTGTGTTTAAATTTGAATTACGGTATTTGAATTACGATCTATATTTGAACTAAAATCCTGAGGCAAATTCTGTTGCAAACTACTCCATGCAAGTTGGTAATGACAAATCATACAGAAAATATAAGGAATATGGAAATCAGATTACCCACAGAATCACGATTTATCATATATTGTGTCTGAAATACAATTCAATGACATATTCCAAGAAAATTTTCTCAAGTACTGGCTAAAAGGGAAGTGGGTACTTTATGAGACTGCAAATAAATTGGCAATCACAGGGAACTTTTTAGGCTAAATGGAGTTCTTCTGAAATGCAGGTAGTTTTCCTTCTCTAACTAGACTTTTCTTTTTTTGAGATACAGTCTCACTTTGTCACCTTTGGTAGAGTGCCATGGCATCACAGCTCATAGCAACCTCAAACTCTTGGGCTCAAGTGATCCTCTTGCCTCAGCTTCCTAGTAGCTGGGACTGTATGCACCTGCCACAGTGCTCGGCTTTTTTTTTTTAGGGGGGGGTCCTCACTCTGGCTCAGGCTGGTCTTAAACCTGTGAGCTCAAGCAATCCACCTGCCTTGACTCCCAGAGTGCTAGGATTATAGGTCTGAGCTACCACCTAGACTCTAACTAGACTTTTATTTTTTAAAATCAAGGAATCTTCTTGGTCACCTAGAGATAATTTCCTTTGTATCCTATCAGATGGTTTAAATCTTTTTTTTTTTTTTTTTGGAGTCAGAGTCTCACTTTGTCACCCTTGATAGAGTGCCCTGGTGTCACAGCTCACAGCAACTTCAAACTATTGGACTCAAGACAGCCTCTTGCCTCAGCCTCCTGAGTAGCTGGGACTATAGGCACCTGCCACAATGCTCAGCTATTTTTAGAGATGAGATCTTGCTCTTGCTCAGGCTGGTCTCAAGCTCCTGAGCTCAAGCAATTCATCTGCCTAGGACTCCCAGAGTGCTAGGATCACAGGTGTGAGCCACTGTGCATAGCCCGAGTCTCACTGTATCGCCCTTGGTAGAGTGCCCTAGTGTCACAGTTCATAGCAACCTCAAACTCTTGTGCTTAAGTGATTTGCTTGCCTCAGCCTCCCAAGTAGCTGGGACTACAGGTGCTGCCACAATGCTTGGCTATTTTTTTGCTGTTCTCATTGTTTAGCAGGCCCAGGCCGGGTTCGAACCTGCCAGCCCCAGCATATGTGGCTGGTGCCCTAACCACTGGTCTATGGGCGCTGAGCCCCAAATCTTCTTTCATTGGATCACAGACTTATTTCTTTAAACAATCTAGGGGCCAGAAAAGCTAGTTTTGTGGAGGAAGTTCTTCCCAAGAAACCCCACTCCCAGCTCAGTGCCTGTGGCTCAAGTGGCTCAGGCACCAGCCACATACAACTAAGGTGGCGCGTTCGAATCCAGCCTGGGCCCGCCAAACAACAATGATGGCTACAATCAAAAAATGGCCAGGTGTTGTGGCGGGCGCCTGTGGTCTCAGCTACTTGGGAGGCAGAGGCAGGAGACTAGCTTGAGCCCAGGAGTTGGAGGTTGCTGT